CCCCAAAACCCCAAAACCCCAAAACCCCTTATGCTTCCTAATCACCTATATTTAAAAAATTAAATATTAGAAATTTAAATCTTATTAATGAGCGAAGATTCATTCTTTTACGAAAAAGATCCTTTTAAATCCCGCAAGATACTTGCTGTGATTGGTTGCATGCTCTGCCAATTTGTATATATTAAATTCTCAAAGATCTAATTCATTATTTTAGGTTTTCGGTACTGTCAACATCTGGGGAAACATTTAGGTCTATGTTTGTTCATATTTAAGACTATACGAACCTAGGCTAGAAGTAGATGAAATATTCATTATATCTCCTATTCAAGCTTTTGCGGTTACACTTGGAAACATTATTGGGACAAGACTGATATCTAACTATCACCCTAGAACGTAATTTACTCTCTATTAAGATTTTAACATAGAATAATGATATTCGGGTTCACTTTGTATATAATCTCTCAATTTCTTTCTTCGATTGCATAGAGTTTTGTAAGTTTCACTGTATACTTTGGTATACTAGGTGGAATTGGACTAGGAATGAATGTAATTTAAAAGAAGTCATTTATTATCTTTTAGTTCTTTTTGCCAGTATATGTAGGTTGGAAATGTTTCCCACTTAATAAAGGACTAGTAACCAGTCTGATTATGTGCTTCAATGGAATAGGGACAATTTCAGCTGCAGTTATCTCAACTTTCATAGTCAATCCTAATAACGCTTTTCCAGAAATCGAAAGTATGAAAGGTGGTATTAAATATAACTACTATGGAAGGGACGTTGCAGATAATGTTCCAGATTTGTTTAGATACTTTGCTATAGCTGAGTTCATCGTTTTAATATTTGCGCTTTCATTTATTTGGATACCTCCTTACAATTTATAGTCTGAAGATGAGATATTAATGCCATGGAATGTCGAGCAATCATAGGGAGAAAAAGTGAAGTGTGCAGTTAATTCAAAAAATTTCATTATGAGTTATGCAATGATGTTTTTAGCCGTACTCTACTTTCAATACATAACCATCATATTCAAGCCTTTTGGAGAATTTATGGGTCACAATGATCAGTATTTGACCTTCGCATCATCTCTCGGCATGGTATTTAACTGCCTTTCTAGACTTACTGGAGGGATCATTCTTGATAAAGTGAATTTCAAGAGTTTCTTTGGATTTGTTCTTGCGTTATCAACTATTTTACCTTTGACATATAGTTTTGTAGCAAAATCAGACTACTTATTTGCTCTTTACCTATGCCTCTCATACTATGTTGCAGGCTCAATCTTCGTTTCAATGCCTATATACTATGCCAGAATATTTGGCCCAGAAGTTGGATCATAAACATACGCTTTCTTTTTCACATCAAATGCTATTGCCACCTTATTATTCTCATTTATTGTTAGTAATCTGTCAGGAGTACTTGGATATTCAGGAATGCTGCAATTTACAGGAGTTACATCCGGTATATCATTTCTGCTTTTGCTCTTACTACCTAATGAGCCTATGATCTTTAAAAAGAACTGTCTTCTATATTCGCCAGTTGTTGAACGAGGACCAATGTTTTAAGAGTGCCATGGTGATTTCGCATAGGCTTCAATTATTTTTAGAAAAGAGTCTATTATAAAGAGAACAGATACTATTAGAAGGTAGATCTCTTCAATCTCTTTCTCAGTGAGCGAACTTCATATTAAGAAGCATCTAAGGACTCATTCAATTAAAAGAGATGGATTTAGTGATTTTTGATCAGCATTTTTCAAGGATTATCTCTTCCTAGATATTTTAAATAGCTATTTGCTGTTGATTTCATTTCAAAATATTGCAAAATCTGCAAATTGTTTGTTTAAGGGGTTTTGGGGTTTTGGGG